TATTAGTACAATTAAAATGCATTAAAAATGGGTTTTAGATATACTAAAAGTGTTAACAAAATACATTTTTTTAAAGGTTGAAATGGTATATTAAAAATATATTTAAGTTCATCTTCAGTGTGTGTCAAAATAGCACAGTTGAGTACACTTAGTTGATCTTAAGTTTATCTTAAGAAGTACTAAAGTTAAGCTTTTAGTATATTAAGTACAAAATTAGTGCGCGAAAATAGAGCACTTTAAGTACATTATGGAAGTGTACTAAGTGCACTTAAATAAAATGTATTTTAGTGAATTTTTTTTTCACCTGGGTATTCGGGTTCTGTTGTGGATCCGCGTTCAGTGCCGCCGCTGACGTAAGACGCTGCTGACGTGTGTCTGGTGCGCCCGAGCTTCGTTTACAGTCTGAGGGAGACGCACGCTGGAAACAAAACAATCTTCGCAAACATGTCTAAGGATTTCCACACAGAGGAAGACTTGCATTTTTTTCCCAGCCATATTTATTTGAACCCGAATACACGGACGCACCAGACACACGTCAGCAGTGTCTTACGTCAGCGGCGGCACTGAACACGGATCCACAACAGAACCGGAAGACAATACAATGCTGAATAAAGTCGTAGTTTTTGTTATTTTTGGACCAAAATGTATGTTTGATGCTTCAAAAAATTCTAACTAACCCACTGGTGTCACATGGACTACTTTGATGATGTCTTTATTTCCTTTCTGGACAAGGACAGTATACCGTACATACATTTACAATGGAGGGACAGAAAGCTCTCGGACTAAATCTAAAATATCTTAAACTGTGTTCCGAAGATGAACGGAGGTCTTACGGACTTGGGACGACATGAGGGTGAGTCATTAATGACATTATTTTCATTTTTGGGTGAAATAACCCTTTAAATAAAAACTAGTAGTCATAAGCCACTTTTCCACTGTGAGGCCAGTGCAACCCAGGGCAAACAGCGTGCCGGGAGGGGGCCAATAGCCTCGGACCTTGAGCACCGAGGCCAAAATCAAGTTGCGTTGCATAGAAATTTTAATTAATCAGGCATGTGACACTGGAACCATTTTTCTAATTCTAAATTAAATTCACATATACTCACATCATCTTCAAGAGATTGAATCAGGCTCTTGAGTTCTCCAATGTCTTTGGCTTGGTACAACCGCAAAAATCCTTTCAGGTACTCATCAAGCCCATGGAAAAAGGTCGTCTTAAGGTCTGTGGACACTATGCGTCGAAATTCTGCAGCAATCTAGTAAAATAGCAGACCCACAATTAGAATATTACAGTTTAGTTTTTTTTAACAATTGCTAGGACACATTTCTCAATACTTGGGTCACTTTTTCAGTTTATAATTCAAGGCAATACTGTATTACAAAAGTAACCCATGTTTTTGTAAAGATAAACCTGTCTCTCGGTAAATAATAGAGATGCACCGATTACAATTTTCTAGCCCGATCCCGATTTTTCCTTGAGTTTGACCTGCCGATACCGATTTGAGCCGATTCGGATTTCATTTTTTCAAACCACTTTACAGCACACACAAATATTTATTTTCTATCTTCTCTTTAATAGAACATTTTGCATAGAACATTTTTTGAACAGATAATCGCTATAAAATAGAACTATATAAATTACTCCTGGTGTGGGAAATTCACACACATCTAAAGTGCAGTGTTATGGAAGAACCATTTCCTTTTCACATCCAATATCCAACTAAAAAATATTTGATATATTTAGCAAACTAAACTTCTGTATGAAAAACAGGTAATGGCAATAAAATAATATATAAATAACAAATAAAAATAAAATAAATATAGCCTTGCACTGCACTATAAAGATATTTATCACACTCACACACACAGGCCTATTGCAATCACTTGTAACTTACATCAATGGCAAGTTATATTTCTCAAACAGTTCTTCTCTTTTCTGTGAAAAGAAATGGTTCTTCCATAACACTGCACTTTAGATGTGTGTGAATTTCCCACACCAGTAGTAATTGATATAGTTCTATTTTATAGTGATTATCTGTTAAAAAAAATGTGTTCTAAGCAAAATGTTCTATAAAAGAGAAGATTAAAAATAAATATTTGTGTGTGCTGTAAGGTGGTTAGAAAAAATTAAATCGGCAAAATTATAATAAATTTAAACTATTTTCGGACCTTTCCCCGCCTATACATTAAATTAATATGACAAAACCAGTTGTGATAGAGACATATTATTGAATTTTAAAATTACTTACCATAAACAGCCTAAGTTTGCAGAGAAGCAAATGGCTCCTTCCCCAGGTCTGGTCCAAGATACGTCGTGTAACGTTAATTGGCAAACATGTTCAAAGCTCAACAAGTCTGAAATATTACATAAAAAGATTCATTTGAACACTTATTGCTTCAGAAACATAAGTATAACAGTTCAATCTCTATTACTTAACGTTATTGCCGTTTCCTTCTCTTAAAGGAAACGTCAACTTAACCTGAATGCGTTAACGTTAGCAGCACGGCCATTCGTTTAATCACGACGAAAATGAAAAATGATTAAACTATTATTATTTATCGGGATTATTTTAAGGTTGAATCGCTTCACTAACAGCCTAACTAAACCGTAACGTAAAAGATGACATAAGAAACACACTAACTTTCAAATAACCTCAATGGAAACTTCTGGAATTTCTGAGGCAAAATTATTAACTTACTTATAACGTTAGATTTAAACCATCTTCTGATTTTTCGCTGCCTAGGAAATAAATTTCATTACCCTTAGACAAAACCAGTCTATAAATACATTGCATTTTAAAATTACTTACCATAAACAGTCTTGTTTCCTTGCTTCTGAAGCAGCTGAAGAGAAAATCGCGCCTTCTCTTTCAAGTGTCGTCTGTTGTTTACACTCGGGCGTCCGGCGCATGCGCAGGGAAAATTAAGACTTAGAGTGAACTATCTATTAGTACAATCAACTAATATTTTTATTTTATATCAGTGCATTGCCACCAAGCCATTAGTTTAATCAACCTAAACTAAAAATGTTTTGTTATCTGAACAACATTAGTGAATCTAAGTTGATTTGACAAAATAAAATATGTTGTGTTAACAAATCATGGAAATCATTTTTTACAGTGTGGTAACTTAAATCGATCAAACCACGAGGAGTTTTTATCGTGTACCAAAAGTTGTTGTTCATAAGGGGGGAAAATGCAAGAAATTGACCGAAAAAGTCAGGGAAAACGGCTTGCAAACCTACACTGTAAAAAAAATCTGTAGAAATTACAGTATTACTGGCAGCTGCTTGCCAGTAACTTACTGTAGTTTTAAATTGATGTTATTTACTGGCAACAGTTTGTTCAAAGTTAAATGAACATTAAACATTAACAAGTCTTTATCTTTACAGAATAAAACTAAAATAACAGCCTCATGCAAAGCATTCTGGGAACCAAAATCTGAAGGAAAAAAACAGAAAAAGGTTGATGAAGATTTCTGGTTCCCAGAATGCTTTGCATTAGATTGTTATTTTATCATTTTATTCTGTAAAGGCAAATACTTGGTAATGTTTAATGTTCATTTAACTTTGAACAAACTGTTGCCAGTAAATATACATCAATTTAAATCTACAGTAAGTTACTGGCAAACAGCTGCATAACTACAGCAATTTTTTTACAGTGTACGTATGCGGTCGGGAGGAGCCGAATAGGAAAATGCCCTGTGTGTGCAGCGATCACTTCGTCAAAGATGAGTTAATACAACTTAAGTGGCTATGTTTGTGTAACGTGTAACGTTTCCGAACTTTGTAAAGTCAAAGTATGTCTGTAAGACGAGGTAGTTGCTGATATCTACCGCCTCGATGGCAGGAAATTCTTTCAATTCAGTTAAAAATCGCTCCTCTTCATAACGTAAGGATCACATCCAACATATGTTTGACTTTTTGTTTATATCTTTCTCTTGTAATAGCGTGTAAAGTACAGTGCGGACTTTCCTCTATCTTGTCCATTGCACTCTTCACTCCCTGCCCTCCATCTGAATTTCGCGCGTCATCATTCACGTGACTGAAACCCAGCTATTGTACAGTACAATCATAACATAGTACAGACATCATCTTAATTTTATAATGTCCTTAAACATAAGAATACTGCTGGCCATAAACTGAGAAAGTGCGCGTCCGGTGTGCGATACCTCGAGTTGTCCTAGACGCGACACGGCGCTGCAGAATGTGTAGCCACCAACATTTTTTATTTTGGCCACAATAACCGTGGTGTGAAAATTCTAACATCGTGACAGCCCTAATTACAGTGTTATTATACATTAATTACAATGTAATTATACGTTTATTACAATGTAATTATACATTTATTACAGTGTTATTATACATTTTTTACAATGTAATTATACGTTCATTACAATGTAATTATACATTTATTAGAGTTTTATTTTACATTTTTTACAATATTATTATTATACATTTGTTACATTATTATTGTTACATTTTTTTTTGAAAAATTTGTGATTCTTTTTTAAAAAGTAGTGATTCTTTTTGAAAAAGTAGCGATTCTTTTTGAAAAAGTATTGTAAAAAGTAATTATACATTTGTTAGTCTTATTATACATTTATTACATTATTATTATACATTTGTTACATTATTATTTTGTTACATTAATCTTTTTGAAAAAGTAGTGATTCTTTTTTTTTAAAGTAGCGATTCTTTTTGAAAAAGTAACGATTCTTTTTTGAAAAGTATCGATTCTTTTTGAAAAAAAGTAGTAATTATACATTTGTTACAGTCTTTTTATACATTTTTTACAATGTTATTATACATTTAATACAATTTAATTATATGTTTATTACAATGTAACTATACATAGTTTAAAAACATTGTATTGAACTATGAAAAATTGTTGTGGTCTATGAAAATGTTTTCAAGAAAAGGTTACAGGAAGTCTGTGATGTCACAAAAAGAAAGACACAGAAGTGTACACTACAGTATAATCTTGCAGTAGTTTATCAAGGCAAGCCGGAGACTGCGGTGAAGATGATGATTATTTGGATTTCTGTCATGCTTCTAAGTGAGATGTGTAAGTGTAGACTATATCTAAATGCATTACTTGATTGTCAGTGATTTTCTTTAATAGACAATGTTAAGTCACCTCCTATTTTCAGATACTTATTTAAATGCTATTTTATCCCTGAATAATAGCTTTTCTACATAATAATTTTGTCCTCCGCAATGATTTTATTCAAAGAATTTATTACCTTAAACATTTTTTGTTGTTGTTGCCTATTGTATTTATTTGCCTATTGAAAAAAATTGAATGTTAAGCATCTCATAAATTAATTCCATAGTTTAAGTCTTTTGGGGCTTTATAAACTTAAAAATACTTTAAATTTAAATTTAAGATGGAATACATGTTTTAAAGTATTCACAATGACCTGGTTTTCTGAAGTATGAGACTAATATGTAAAGCTTTTTCATACAGACGAATTAACATTATTTTATTATTTACTCTTTTTCTCCCTATAGACTCAACACATTCAGAGGTTGTTTCTCAACCTGATCCAGTAATGTTGGTCTCTATTGGGGACGATGTTACTCTGCATTGCTTTATTCTGAAAGACCACAGTGATCCAATTACTTGGTACAAGCAAAATTCTGGACACCAACCACAAGCAGTTGCAATGGTGCAGAAATTAGCCAAAAACCCTAATTTTTTCAACACTTTGGAATCCTCACGTTTTAGCATTGAGACAGACTCAAGCAAATGTCATTTAACGATTTCAAATGTCACTTCATCTGATGAAGCAATGTATTACTGTGGCTGGAGAAAGTATGAAACTATTTTTGCTGAAGGCACATATTTAGCTTTAAAAGGTTTGTGTTTTTATCCTCGAGCAAATTTATTGAAGAATCGAATAAAATTGTATTTCTTACAACCATTATTTTAAGGGAAAAAAAATCCACAGTAAACAAATAAATTTGGACACTATGAACAGAGTCTATTTGAGAGATTATTTGTTACATACGATTATTTGCAATATTATATTCTAAATTATTTTATATTCTAAAATCATCAGAAAAATAAGACCTTTGATTTAACATGTGACTTTGTATATTTCAGATATAGTCCTCTGCATAAAATGTCTCCATGTCTATTTAGGGTCACAAAACAACCAATATAAATCCAACGTGTCTGTTCTTCAGCATCCCGAATCAGAGACGGTCCACTCTGGAGACACCGTGACCCTGATGTGCTCTGTGCTGTCTGAATACAACACCGCAGATATCAGAATGTTCTGGTTCAGATCTGAATTTGGAAAACCAGAAATCCTCTACACTCAGAATCCGAGTAATCATTGTGAGACTGATTCTGCTCTGAACTGCACATTCAGTCTGTCCAAGAACATAGTCAGCCAAATGGACACTGGCACTTATTACTGTGCTGTAGTCACTTGTGGAAAAATTCTGTTTGGAAATGGGACAAAATTAAATATGGGTAAGTGCCTAATTATTTTATTTTCAGGCATTTTAATATTTTGTAGGGAACATTATAATATTTAGTTTCATAATAAATGGTTGAGTTGCTCTTTTTAAAGAATATCTTTTTTTGCACGTGCACTTTGACGAAGAAAACAATAGAGAGCATCTCTCTATGGCAATTCACAAAATATGGGGAATGTCTGTGTATACCAAAAAGCAAACGTTATATTTAAATGCATGTAATATTATATTCATGCAAGTATTTTAAATATGTAATTTAAATGATAAATGTACATCAGATCACATACTACACAATGTGTTTTGTCTCACTGTCCTACAGTAAAGCCAGTGGATCCTCTGGTGATGATCTTGGGTGTGTTATTGGGTGTCTGTGTGGTTGTGATCACTGCACAAGCTATTTTAAGTCATAAAAAGGAAAAATATTACTGCAACAAAGGTGAGCATTTGATCTGACCTATTAAAATCTTTATTTAGATATTACCACATGGTGCAAAGTTTTTTATTTATTTATATCTGGCCAAATCTTTTTTTATACCATAGGCTTCCATTATAACATATGTTTTTCGTCTTTCAACCAGAAAAAAGGCTAAAAGACACTGAAAAAGAACACCCCACCACCAGTCAGGTGTGCATCATAAATTAATTTTGATTAATTGTTTCATGTATTTAAAGCTGCAGTCCGTAGCTTTTCCTCTTTGTCGCCATCTCTCTGTTCGAAATCTGTAACCTCAGTGATTCGCGGAATTATCATCTTTACGTGGGTTGTAAATCGGCATGAAACAGCGCGGATGAACACAGTGCTTTGAGGCAAGTGCTGCTGTCAGTCACCGCGCTGTGTGGATACTGTCATACAGAATCACAGATTCACTTTTTGAAAGTTTGACCAACATAAGAATTTTCATAAGAAAATGTCTTCTGAACAAGTAAGTAACATCCATTTTTGTTCTGACCAACTAAGGGGGAAAAAGCATTCGACATGATAAGCTTCGTTAGATTTAATCAACGCGATTTACAGCAACCGTGCAAATTATAGCCTACTTTGTTCTCAAATTGTTCATGTTAACAACATCAGCATTGCGTGACTACTGTTACATTTAATGTGTTTTATGGTTACCTGTGTAGTTCAGAATTCATATTCTCCATGATAGCAAAACGAGAAAGGAAACTCCATAACTGTGTGAATTAAGAAAACGTACTGTTACACGATTGAACTATTGAAATGTCTTACTTGTTCAGCAGAAAAAAGCCGTCTCTTCTTCCGTTTTGAACCCCTTCAAAACACGGAGTTCACGCACTTTTCAAAAGCCCCGCCGATGTTTAAATCCTTGTGTTCGCATGAGACGATTTCTTTCTCTTTCTCTAGCCACCTTAAATCCAAAGTACGAAGTCTTTTGGGTTTTATAACTGCTGAATCTCCAGTTGACACTGATGATTGTTGTTTGGATCTTTCTGGATGCCATAAGTTTAATTATGTAAAGTGCTGCGAGAAAAGCCTATACATCTAAACATCTCGTCACGCGCAGTATAGCCGGCTAGCCGAAACTCCTTCTTTATGTGTACGGGTGTGACATAATGACGCAAAAACATGCTCGAATCTCCCGCGGAAACCCACCAGTACCACTGGAATTAAAATCATAATTACAAGCTAACCGTTTTGAATCTAGCTATGGCAAGCAGATAGTTTTGACCACTGGCAGAATATGTTTTTTTAAATATAATTATTTTGGATTATTTTTAACTTAAAAAAGTTACGGACTGCAGCTTTAATAAGATAATATGGTAACATTTTACAATAAGGTTCCATTAATTAATGTTAGTTAATGCATTAACTGACATTGAAAAATAAACATTAACTGACATTAAAAATTAGCAATACATTTGTTACAGTATTTTTTTATATTTGTTAACGTTAGTTATTTAGTTAGTTAGTTAATAAAAGGACAACTGTTCCTTGTTATTGTTAGCTCAGTCAGGTCTATTAAATAATATTAACAGATACAACTTTAGATTTGAATAATGTATTAGTAAATGTTGAGGTTAATATTAACTAAGATTAATAAATAATTTAGAAGTATTTTATAGTTCATGTTAACTAACATACTAATGTTAACAAATGGAACCTTATTGTAAAGTGTTACCGATACTTTCTTATTATGCAATTATTGAATTTTAATTTTCTAATTTAATTAAATTTTGTACAAATTGTACATTACATTACATACAGTACGTTGGGTTTTCATGTGGTTTTTATACTGTAAAACTGTATATTCTTTCCCCTTACACTAACCCTATCTCTAAACCCCTCACAGAAAATATCTCGGGTTACTTGACTGTAATCCTGTTACCTGAAATAGCGGGAACGATATGCTGCACTTGATTTTAAGTGTTATAAGGGAAAAACTTCTTCGTTTGACCGGTTGTGAACCCGTGTGTGGCAAACACGCTAAAGAATTTGCCTTAAATAAGCTCTGAAGATGACGTCTTCAGAATATGCACATCAGAGGCTATAAATAAACGTGTGACAGGTACGCTCATCAGGTAATTTTGTCTGAAGAATGTCCTGAACACGATCTCAGTGAGCACAATGAAGCACAGCAGCTCGTTCCCGCTTTTTCATGGAACAGGGTTTCAGTCAAGTAACCCGAGACGTTCCCTTTTAAAAGCTACTCTCAATGCTGCGCATGATTTTAAGCACTATGGCGAACAAGAATACCAATGCTGCCACAATGGAGGTGTCTGGACCCCTCAAGGTTGTGTTGTGTGTGCGTCTACTCAAGTCTACTCAAGGACGTGACAGCCAATAGTACGTGAAAATCCAAACTATAGAATCTAATAAATGTGTGCATAGAGGACCAGCCTGCCGCATCACACACTTGCTGCAAGGGGGCCCCTATTGCTAAAGCCCTGGAGGATGCAACCCCCCTGGTAGAATGAGCCCTAACGCCTAGAGGCAAAGCTTGACCACGCACCTCATAGGCTAGAGAAATAGCATCCCTCACCCAATGTGACACATTTGGCTTTGTGGCGGCCCCCAGAACAAATAAACAGCTGCTCTGACTTCTGGCTACTGCGGTGGACATAAATCGGAAGAGCACGAATTGGACACAGGAAGTTGAGTGTCTCCTGCTCCGGCGTAGTGAATGGCAGAGGACAGAAGGCTTCAAGAATGACCGGATGTGCGGTCGAAAATGGAACTTTTGGAAGATAGTCGGGTGAGGGTGCAAAATAGCCTTGACCAGTCCAGGGGCAAAGTCTAAGCAGGATGGCAAAAAAGACAGAGCCTGCAAATGCCCTATCCTCTCTAGTGACGAGATAGTCATAAGGAAAAACATCCGTAGAGTCAGAAGCTTGACCGGCGCTGACTCTAGTGGTTCAAAGGGGTTGAAACGGGCGATCAGAGGGTGTTTCCCCACTAAAACCCTGTCAATCAGAGCATGGCAAGCTGAAACGGCGGCCACAGATACTCAGAGAGTAGTAGGACATGTGCCTGCTGACAGCTTTTCCTGCAGAAACTCCAGCTCTGAAACAATCTGGCAGTGGACCGGGTCTGCATGATGTATAGTACATCACCTTTCAAAGACACACCACTTAAGGGCCTACATTCTTCTAGTGGAGGGAGCCCTAGCACTCGGAATGGTCTCTATTACATCCACTGAAAGCCCAGCATCTCTTAGCCGGTCCCCCTCAGGGGCCCAACATGAAAATTCCACAACTCGGGTCGGGGATGGAAAATCGTCCCCTGTGCCTTAGACAGGAGATCCCTCCTGTTCGGTATCGCCCACAGCGAGCCGCCAAGAAGAGATATTATTTCTAGAGCCAGACTCTGGTCAGCCAACGAGGTGATATAAGCAATAGCATGACCCTTATCAGCATGTATATCAGCATGCATGACCCTTGTTGATGGACCTTAGCCAGGACCTTCGGGAGCAGAGCGATCGGTGGAAATGTGTTTAGACGCTTCCTGGTATGGGCCATGCCGTCCAGACCCAGGGGGGCTGGAGGAGTCAGCGAGAAGTACAGGGGACATTGCACTGTTTCTTGTGAAGCGAAGAGGTCCACCTCTGCTTCGTAAAATCTTTCCCAGATCTGATTGACTACCACGAGATGGAGCTTCCAATCCCCATTTCTGGACAATAGATCTGCTCCCACATTCATGCTTCTGGGAATGTAAATCGCCCTGAGGGACAGGAACTTTTAGAAAGTGGACGAAGCGCTCAGCGCGTGCGCTTATCATAAGCATGGATTTTAGAAAGGAAACAAAGTATTCTGCGTGTGCCCTTACCCTTATTTGCCTCTGGGGATTAGCCCTTGGACGAAATCCCCTGGCTCGGAGCCAGAAGTATCACTGTGGACACAGCTGCCATAAGACCTAGAACTCTTTGAAAGTGATGGAAAGTAATTTCCTGACCTAGCCTAATACCGATCAGAGTGTTTAAGATGGACTCGACACGTGAGCGAGACAGTTGTGCCCGCATGGTAACAGTCCCAAACAACCCCTAAATACATAGTTCTCTGGGCCGGAGAGAGAATGTTTTTCTTGGCATTGAGTCTTAAACCCAGATACACAAGACGAGACGACATCAGATGTTGGAGCGCAAGCTTTTGAGACTGGGACAAAATCAATCAGTCGTCTATGTAATTTAAAATGGGGATGTCCTGGCATCGCAATTGAGCCAAAGCAGCATCCACACGTTTTGTGTATGTGCGGGGTGATAAGACTAGGCCGAATGGAAGAACTCGATTTTTAACAGCCAGAGAACCTACATCCTCAGCCCGCTCTGAGGAAGTGCACAGGCGTGCTTCAGCAGCGGACGGAAGGACAACGCGATCTGAAGAGAGAAGGAGAGAAAGGGAAGGACCCATCTCCCGCTCCTCAGTCAGATCGACTCACGATATGTGAGACGAGCATGAAGCACTTTAATGGAGGGCAACTCACAGTGCTTGCACTCGCCATTCTCTCAAAATGATTCTTTTTTTTTCAACTCTTTTCTTTTCGTTGTAGAGAAAGAGAGCGAGAAAGGCTTTATTCCTGCCTGACAAAACTAACTTCTAGCTAAAGGGATAGTTTGAGAAGAGGTTTGAATAGCACACACGGCACACAATGCGGCACTGGAGACAAAAAAACCTGAAGAGCGCACCTGTCACACGTCTATTTATAGCCTCTGACGTGTGCATTCCGATGACGTCATCATCAGAGGTTATTTAAGCCACATTTTTTGGCGTGTCAAACGAAGACGTTTTCCCCCATAGAGCTTAAAATCAAGCGCAGCATTGAGAGTAGCTTTTGAAATGGAACTTTCTGCATTTTTACATTTTCAAAAAAAAAACAGCATTCTGGTTTATAAGCTTGTTTCCTCATGGGGACCTCAATTTAGGTCTACACGGTGACACAAGTCCTCATGTGTGCATTCAGGGTGAAGTCCGGAATAAAAAAACATGTATACACACATACACACACACTTTTTCAAATTTTTCTTTAATCGAATCTTTCTTTCTGTGGCTTTCATAGGACCATGATGCAGTGGAATTGAGTTATGCTGCATTGTATTTTAAGGAGGGAAAAAACAGAAGAGTCCGAAGGAATGGGGACAGTGTTCACCTCAAGACAAACACCTCAAGACAGTGTTTTCAACCAAATCAAAA